TAGTGACAAACAATACAAACTAAATCCTGTACCATCATTTGTTATGTATGGGAAAGAACTAACCAAATTAAACCTTTGTGCTCTATATTTTTCTTCCTGTACACTTGTAAAACAATAACTGTATACAGACTGATAATACACCCGGCCTATCTATGTTATGATGCCATTATGCCGTTATGGGTAAACTGTGTCTAAAGGAATGTAAATTATTGAAGCAGGGAAGATAAACATCAGTGCTGCACTTATGGCGCCGCTCACATGGTTCATTTGTGCAGCATGACAGATTAAAAGGCACAATCAGCATGTACTGCTCCTGGTGTTGACTTCTAAAAATTACAAGCAGCAGAAAGGTATCGCAGGAGAGGCGACAAACTGCCTGTGTGCCTGACATAAACTACATGGATGGGAAAATTCACTGCTTTCCAAATTATTTCGCTGATTGCTGGGATGTACACTGTCTTGCCAATCTTTTAAACAATGTCCTGGGAGGAGGTGTGGCCTTCCTTGAAAACCTGTACACGAGCAGTATTTCCCTCACTTATTGTTTGGCTCTGTCTCAAATAGAGCGTGACTCATCGTAGGACATTTTAGGATTTAGTGACGTCAACAGACACATCTATGTGTACATGAACTGGCTTTCAGTACAAGGTGACACATGAAAGTTTGACTAACAAGTTTAAGTCACGGTTGTTTGTTGTGAAACTCTAACAAGTCTAACTTTATTTAAGCTGAGCTAAAATTCATTATTGATATGAAGCTATTCATTCAATCATTCACAGCATTGCTTAAAGTAAAAACCATTCATGGGAGGTTTTGATGGCAGAGGGGCATGCTGGGAAATATTTTTCTTCTTTCTGACCTTTCACCCTTTGATTTGTCGAAGTCATAGCCATCAACCTGTTGTCTGGCTTTGTCTCCTTCTCCTGTTTGTTTCTTAAATCAGTTTTTCCAAATTTCCATTTGACTATTTCTTTTGTTTTGTTTTTGCAGGCTACTTTATTTATTTGTTTGTTTCATTTGTTATTTAAAAATAATATTGCCAGATTTCTGGAGAAGGGGCAAAGGGACACTCAGGAAGACATGAAAACATGACACAAACATTCAAATCTCAGATGTTTCTTAGCAGAAAAGCTGAGATTTATGTCCTATAAAACTCACAGCATCACAGCAGAGGTCGCATTGGTGTAGAAACCGCACGCACGCACGCACGCACGCACACACACACACACACACACACACACACACACACACACACACACACTTCAGTTATCCGATGAACGTCCCTCTGTCAGGGCTCCTCTCAGTGAAAGGTGTCGTCTCCACGTCTCTGGCAGGTCCTCCATCAGCGCCTCCAGGTGTGGATCCTGATCTTCGGAACTTCCTCCTCCAAACCAACCACACAGCAGCAGCAGCAGAGAGCAGCAGGGTTATGACGGCTGTGATGATGATGGGAGTTTTCGTGTGTGTGTCTGCTTCACGCGTGGGCTGCAGAGAAACAAACATGAAATAATGTGAGACCCACTGCGCTGACTCAGCAGCTGTGATGTGCTTCAGTGTTTAGCAGAGGTGATGCTGGTGTTGGTGCTCCTCTCACTGACCGTCACTCTCACAGCTTCAGCGTGTGGTGTGAGCTCTCTCTTGTCTTAGGAGAGGCGTGTCCCTCTGGTCTGACGTTACAGTCTGTGAGGCTTAACATGAGTTTGAAACTTGGGTTATTTGGTTGTGTGTGGGTAATAAAGGAACTGTTTCAACCACTTCCAGAGGCCTGTGGTAAAAATTAGGACTACACTTGATATCATTTCAGGTCCTTTCTGCTTTGTTTTTTTATTGTTTGCTCTTTTTGGGTGCTCTCATTTCCACACCGCTGATTTTACAGAGACCATAATCAAGTGTTATTATGTCAGCGGGCTTTGAGGAAATAATTGTTGGCAATGCAAAGCTGGAGCATTTCTTGTCTCATAAAGCTCGTAAACTATGGTAACAGGGATTGTAACTAAAGGATTTATAAATAAAAAATAAAATAAAACATGACAAAAAAAGCGTATCACAGCAGAGGTCATGTTTGTAAAAAAAAAAAAAAAATCAGCTCTGACTGATTTTGATAAGATCAGGGACGGGCAGAATGTAACAGTTGGTGAAATGTTAGTATTTGACCACTAGACTTAGCTCTTGTAATGATAATGTAATTAACGCATTTTATTTTGTATGTTTTATTTTTATGTTGAGCAGAAACATTTTCCTTTTTTTGCATACCGGATTGGTGTAAAGTCAATTTGATACAAGGAAAATAACCGGTTAATTTTTTGAGTATAAGGTAAGGGCAGAGGTCACTTCCTGTTTTGGGAAGTAAGGTCAGAGAAGCTGCTCATAGTGAATGTCAAAGAAGAAATAAATCCTAAGTTCCACTTACACCGGTTTGTCTACTTGCAGGCCAAAGTGTTATGTTTGTTTATATTTTGTGAATTTTATATTGTAATATGTTTTAATGCTGAAATATAATTTTCTTGTACATTTGTATTTGTACCTGTGTACGTTAAGAGAAGCACAGTAAACATCAGTAAAGAAGAACTCTCGTGTCTCTCGTGTATGTGTACAAGCCGGCATACAGAGAGACTTTCCAACACACTATTACTGAACAAGACTCACAGCTAAGTAATGAATGGCAAATGTTCACAGGACACTCACTGTTCACTTGACTGTGAGTCAAGTGCTTGACTCATAAGTAAAGATATCAAAGTTTCTTCATTTAATTTTTAAAACAAATATATATATATATATATATTTATTAATCATCATCATCATCATCACCAAATAATAATAATAATAATAATAATAATAATTATTATTATTAGTAGTAGTATTATTAATATTATTATTATTGTTAGTAGTAGTAATAGTAGTAGTAGTATTAGACAGTGGGGTAATTTTAATTTAGTTTTAATTTAACCTTTATTTAACCAGAAAGATCCAATTGAGATTTAAAACCTATTTTCACAGGAGACCTGGCCAAGAAAGGCAGCAGTAAGTGTCTCACACTTGATTAAACACAGGCAGCAACAACACACATGCAAAAATAAAATGAAAAAAACAAACCATAAAATAAAATTCAATAATTCTCTCTTTGCATGGTGGTATGGCACCAGTTTGACTGAACCGTTTTGTTGCTCCAGTCTCTTCATCTTCTGGTTCTCTCCTCAGTTTTCAGTCGCAAAGGAAAACAATCCCAGCTGTTAAAGCTGCTATTTTAAGGACTGTGATCCATGTCCAGTGAGAGGACTGTGATGGCTGCAGAGGGCAAGAAAATGGAAATCAGACATGTTAGTAAGTGGAAGTTTCAGTTTCAGTCCTGAATTCATTTGAACAGAAAACCAAAAATGGCACAGTTATGGTATGATGAGATGTATCTACGTGACCTGACTATTGCATTTCCAGAACATGTTTTAACTGTAGATCTGCCTGTGTTAGAGAGCCTAAAAGGCTGCTAATAAGAGGAGATGCTAATAATATAGTTATTTCCTTTTTCACTTCCTGTGGTTGTCTTTATGTGCCCTGGTTTACATATGAGTGGGGAGATTCATGGTCATGTGTGTCATATTATTGTCAACACACACACTGAGCACAGTGACACATTTCAAATCCAGTGCATTTGTTACAATAAGGGATTATTACCTGTTATAACATTCTGTATCATTGTTTGGTATGGTAATATGTCTTTGAACAATAAGACCAGACTTAGTAATCTGATTAAAGGGGCTGTTTCGATTTCAGGGAGGTCTCGGGTCCAGCATGTGGACTTACAGGCAGGTGCTGAGGAAGGCGACCTGTGTCATGTTATGTTCAGACCGTCCTCTCTAATGATTTTCAGCTGCTTCCCTCATGTCGTCAGTATAAAGTGCCTGCAGTGAAGACAAAGAGACATAGAGTGTCTTTTGTATTTGCTGCTATAATCATGGTTAATAACACTAAACCATAAGGGTTGTTGCCATTGCACTTTTTTTGATGATAAAATTTGGTCTGTTCTCTCTGGGCTTTGTGTGTGTGTGTTGTGTTTGTTTGTTTTTATCTCTCTGTATGGATGGAGATCAAATCAATTTCCCACTGGTGACAATAAAGTCACCATTGACCGTTGATTTTTTCTCTCCCCACATGTTCACAGCTATAGACTAAAGCACTTATGTTCTTAAAAATATATGAACAGCTCCCCCGTGTGGTTTGAAAAAGCACCTTGTCTGCTTCTAGTGGTCGGCAACACCCAAACTGCCCAGAAAACACTGGGAGCCGCCAATTTTTGAGATCTAAAATGAAGATAACGCTGCATATATTGTTTAAATTATGTAATGAATGCATTTTGAACATTATGAACTCTTAAAAAATAATAACAACGAAGAAACACAATGAGTTAAGGCTAGCGCCAATCTCTCTCTTAAGTTAAATACTTATAATTTGTTGGCCCAAGTTACGTGGAGCCGCAGTATAAGGATGAAAGAGCTGCATGTGACTCGGGAGCTGTGGGTTGTCAACCTGTTATTGACTCAATTGTGGTTTGTGGTTTTCATTCAGTTCTGTGGACAAACTCATTTTGCTGCATAAATGAAATGATCTAATAATTGATTTGTGCTCTTGATTCTCTGTAGTTTGGCTTCATATTAATTTCTATCTATTGTAAAATGAATAATGTTCTAATAATATTCCTTCCTCCGTGAACATGACGACACATGTCTGTCCTGTAACAAAATGACTCAACTATGATGGAGCTAAAAAATACTGAAGTCTGGTTACAGCTGCAGATGTTTCACTCTGAGTGACTCTCAGATTCTTCATTTATTTTCATCTTTAGGAAGTAAAGGAGTTTTTGGTTAGGTTATACTTTAGTGTTTTACAGAAAAAAACACATGTAATTATGTAATGCTGCAAGTACACACTTTAGACTATTAAACTCATTTATTCATGTAAAGAGAAGGACTGCATTTAGACTGAAGACACCAAAGAAGACACTGGAGCAACCAAAGAGTTTATTTAGAGACAGAATGAGTAGAAATACAAAGGCAGATGGATAAAATGTAAAAGTCATGCAAACTAAAGATAAACTAAAAATCAAAGAAGAAATGACAGAATATAACGAGATATGACTGTCCTGTTAGAACACATTTCTTGTGACAATGAGTCTGAAAAACTTTAATGTTTCTAAGCTTCACACTTAACATCCCAAAGCACATTCAGAGTAAAGCTGGTACTTCTAACTTCACACCTGGATGTTTTTAGACACTGAAAATGAGAAATGTGTAACGGGTGGCAGCCACTGATGAGCTGAAGAGGAGGAGGAAGGTCCGTGTGAATCCATCGGGTGTGGATGTTGCACAGCACCACTGATTTCATCATCCAGTCCGCAAAGTCGAGGAGCCAAAGATCCTCCTCTGTCAAGCTGACAGCAGCTCAGGTTTGTTGTGGTTTCTAAGGACAGAATTTCAGAGAACAGGAAACATAAATTCAGTTAAACTCAGACACAAGTGGACACTGTGGTGTTCACATTTCATTGTCATGTGTAAAAGGGAGGGATGCTCACCGACGCAGGCGGTGGAGTGGATGTCCCGTTGACTGTTAGCCTCAAAACAGCTGCGCACCGTTTCCCTTCACCCTGGATGTAACAAAGATAATCTCCTTCGTCTTGCTTCTTAGCCCATGTTACGTTTGGGCAAAGGTGTCGTTCAGGGGACACAGAGACTCGGCCATCAGCACACGTGTTTCCTTCGTCTGTGGTGGAATTCTGCTTCCCGTTTTTCACACACTGCACAGGAAACATAAATTTAGTTAAACTCAGACGTAAGTGGGACCTTTCAATGTCATGTGCAAAAAGGAGAGATGCTTACCAACGCAGGTGATGAAGAGGATGATCCGGACCTTGTGTTGTTAACCTTTAGCCTCACAATGGCTACACACCACCGTTTCTCTTCATATTGGATCTCACAAAAATAATCTCCCTCATCTTGCTTCTCAGCCCGTGTTATGTTTAAGCCAAAGTTACGGTCAGTTGATACAGACAGTTGGGCATCAGCAGACTTGTTTCCTTCGTCTGTGCTGCAATTCTGCTTCACCACATTTTTCCCATTTTTCACCCACAGCATAGATCTATTGCTGCAGGTAGGTTGAAAGAAGCATGGGAGGATGGCATTTTGTCCCTCTTTGACTGTTACATTAAAGGGAACCAGAACAGCACACAGAGAGGTGGCCTTTAAGGAGGAGACCACGAAGAAGAGTTGCAGAGGTCGGGCCATCCTGAGTCTCTGTCCTTCTGAGTGGAGCAGGGGAACGATGGATTAATATAACCTAAAGAAAGTGACCCTCCTCTACGCACCAGCCCATCTTTACTGGCGTCTGATTGGTTATCCAATCCTGGGATGTGAAAAAACAAACAAAACAGCTGCATGAACATAGTCAACTTGAACATTGGGATGCAGTCAAAGCAGTGAAATGATTATCAGTCACTTTCCTGTGGTGAGTTTCAAATTTGGAGACAAACGTCATCCTCAGCAGTAAAATTCCCTCCCAGCAATTACAACCTCAAAGCTGGACGGCCCACGCCGTTATCATCTCTTCCCACATCACATGATGTGCCAATGATCACTGTGTTATGTTTTTGTGCAGACTCAATTTCTTAAAAATATAAGTTATGATACTTTTTTCCCATAAGATCTAATACAGTTGCATTGAAACTTCATTTTAAGACATGATTAAATCATGTTATCCATGGATCCAATGAGCTATTTTCTGCTACTTATCTGAGGCTGGACAGAGAAGCCTAAGCAGAGAAGACCCAACTCATCTGGAACAACACTGAAGCATTCCCAGGCCAATCAAAAGGAATAATTTCTCCAGAGTGTCCTGGGTCTTTCCTCGGGGCTCCTCCTGGTTTAACATGCCCAGAACACCTTACGAAGCATCCGGGAGACATCCTATTCAGATGCCTGAATCCTCTGCTGACTGCTTTTGATGTGGAGGAGTATGGGGCTTGGAGTTCCTCTCGAATGAACCAGCCACCATGTGGAGAAAGTTCATTTTCCCCCTCTTCTTTGATGAGACATTCAGCATCATCTGCAAAAAGCAGAGATAAGATCCTAAGACCGCCAATGTGGAAATCTATTGCTACTTAGCAATCCATAGAAATTCGAATCATAAAAGTTATCAACTGAAACAGTGAGAAAGGGCAAACCTGGAGAAGTGCAACAATCACCGGAATGAGTCCAACTTATTGCCAGGGGATAAAATTCTCAGTTGTACAGATGCAAAATGGCTCCTAGCTATGGACCAGATACCTCATGCCCTCTAAATCACCCCCTACTCCTCCAGAATGACAACTACATCTTTGGGAAAATTTTGTTCTGATGCTCCTGAAATTGAGGCAGGTATTCCTTAACCCAAAGTTTCTAGACATATCAAATACATGCTGCACTTTTTTCCAGCCACACCGACTGGGATGGTGGTTCTCATCTTTCCCAGACATGGTGTGCCAAAAAGATATCACACTCCTCAGCATGCCAGGGTATTTTAAGACCGCATACATTTGTTTTTTTTGAGAACAGTGAAGTGGAACATATAAAATACATAACCCCCAAACTGATGAAAACTAATCAACCATTCACTATATTTCAAAAATATTCTCTCACCCTTCCAAATCATTGAATCCAGGCCTTCCAGTCACTTCCATGGTGCATAAAATCAAGCGCCCGGCATGCAGACTGCTTCTACAAACAACATTTGTGAAAGAACAGGTTGCTCTCATTCAGCTCTTATTGTTATTATAACAACGTGGAAGTGTCTGGGAACGACAGTAACTGAGCCATAAAGTCATGGGCCACATTAAATCACAAAGCAGATGCCGATGTGCATAATGTACAGAGTTCACCAACTTTTCTCATAGTCAGTCACTACAGACCTCCAAACTTCAGTGAACTTGAGACTAGCCTTACATCACCAAGTGCAATACAGAGCACTGGATGCAGTGGTGTAAAGTATGCCATCACTGGACTCTAGAGCAGTGGAGATATGTTTTCTGGATGAGTCTGTGTTTGGCCATTGCCAGGAGGTGATATTTCTCTGATTGCATTGTGCCAAGTGAGAAGTTTGGTGGGACTGCATTTCCCTCAGTTCCATTGAAAGAAACTCTAAATCCTTCAGCATACCAAGACATTATGGACATTTTCATGCCCCCAACTGTGTGGGAACAGTTTGGGGATGGCCCCTTCTTCCTCCAACATGACTGTGCACCTCTGGACAAAGATGAGTTTGGTGTGCAAGCCAGATCTTGATCAGTGTCTATCCTTCCTGAATAATGGTCAAAGAATTCACATAAACACATGTAAACTTTGTGGAAACCCTTCCCAGAAGAGATGAATCTGTTATCTGTGCAAAAGGTGGACCAGCATCATATTAAACCCTCTAGATTAGAAATGGGAGGTCAAGTTCAAATGAGTCAGACAAGCAAATGTGCTTTACTTGACTGTTTTTTTGATTAAACTTATTGGAAGAAGAAAAGACCCTAAGATGTATGTTTTTATTGTTATCGTAATGATGTCAAATGTTTAATTTGTGGTTTAGAAACCTGCCAAGTCATGAGAAGCTATACACTCTGGTGACCCCTTATTAGGAAAGTAATGATTTACAGGAACCTTTGTAGGCTATTGTATGGTATCTTTAATTGATAAATGTATGTTTCCTATATGATGAGGAATCCCAAATCTTCATGTTTTCCACTAGCAGCGTTTAACACAGCTTACATCTGTGGATGTCATGTGGAGGGAAACCTCGGTGTATGGTGGAAATTGAACGCTAAAGGATTTCAGCTCTACTATAATGACTACAGGCTGCTGTAAGCAGGTTGTAAGAAAAGCAGCAGCATTCCTTGGCTTTTTCCACTCAACGCCACTACCCTGTCATTCTGCCTCCGGTAATCACATAGGTCATAAAAAGACAAACCATGTTTATTGTTTTCTAGATTCACAGCCAAGCCCAAAGACTGTAAACAGGTGCCAATATGTCCAGGAAGAGTTCATTTCCAAAAACATTACAGCACAAGGCGTTACCATAGTATTTCCATCAGCACAGTACTGGAATCTCCATGACTGCATTTGAATATACTTAAAATTGACCAATTACTCCATTTGTTTTATAGTTGTACATAATTTTTGCACATCTTCTCTGTAGCAGATAACCAGAACAGTCTTTGGAAGATTTTTAGAGCCATTCATTTAAAAATCCTTTTAGCTGCTTGAATGTTCTGGATGACTTTTAGAGGTTTTGCTTTTGCTTTCAATTTACAACTCATAACTTTGTTGGAGCATTTTCTCATTTTTAACAAGAGTAAAGCTCAAGATAAATGCAATGTCACATTTATAGAATACTGATGGGACTAGATACACACTGCACTGCTGTGCAGGTTCAATGGTTAAACCACCTTGGTAGGTTTTGCCATTCAACATTAGGGATGGGTACCGATTCTGACATAAACAATAGTAAACAGACTGAAAAGCAGCGCACATTTCGGTGCTTTATTTCAGGGCTTTTTTTTTCCTGAGATGACATACACTTTGGATTCTAGCCAAACATTTGACCTTTCCAAGGATAGTAGGCGGGCCCAGGTACGTATGTTCTTTTAGAGCTGAGCTACAGATGAATGTTACTGACGATTACTAATATATTGGAAAAACAAAATACTTACCACTCAGCTGTGATGGGAATAACGGCATTACAATTAACGGCATTACTAACAGCATTACATTTTTCAGTAACGAATATTCTAACTAATTACTCTTTCTATCGTTACAACGGCGTTACCGTTGCTAACAAGAAATGCAGTTGCGGTCCTGTTACTATTTTTCAACAAATAGACGGTTAAAGCTGTCTTCAGCTTTCCGCGTCTTATATCAGTTGCACGAAAGTAGCTGTCTACATAAGTAAGTAAGTAATAAGTAATCTGGGCGCTACGGCTTTAAGCAGCTGGGTGCTCACGTGCAGTTTTGTTCACACATGTAAACGCTAAAAACAAAATTTTGGCCAATCAGAAGTCTAGAAGCCTGGGAGGGAAAGATTAAACAGGGTTTTGTAACCTCACAAAACCTTAAGTACTTGTGAAAAGTTTTTCTATTTTTCTAAAAAAAGGCGGCTTATTTTGTGTTACTTTCCAAGTGCCTTCATCATTTCAAATGTTATTAACTAAAGACAGTACTTTGGTTGGTGTAGACTCGCAACTTAGGAATGAACAAAATGCATACAGCATACATCATTTAATTTAAAAAAATCGATTCAAAACCAGCGTCAGGAGTCGGATCATGAGAGTGTCTGTGTTGAATGTCGAAGTTCACTCTGACGCCTCTGTCTTTCTAAATGGAGGAACAGTAACTGCATGTAGTGCTGTGTGATATGGAAAAAATATTTATCACGATATGAATTATTTTATATCATGATAACGATATATATCACGATAAACCACTTGACCTGTGGTCATTTAAAAGTACGCAGTCTGTAAACAGCAAGTGCCGAGGGTGCAGTCTTTGTTTTGAGTTACCCTAAAGTATGTCGCAAATCCGGGTGCACGTACAGCAGCACCAGCTCGTAAACCACAAGACGGAGTTTCTTTGCGACAAATATCATTTTTTTATACTTTATTTTCTCTTGCATAAAGTAAGAGCATGTATAGTGAGAAGACAACACTAATATATTTGCCACAGGCTATTTAACCCTTTAAGACCTACCATAGAACCAAGTCCGCCCAAGCTTATCTTTATGTTTTTACATGCTGTAGTGCCATTTGTGGGAGCATTTCAAGTTTCCATATATCAATACAACCGTTATAGCCCAAATTTTAATAATATGTATGCATTAAGTCCATAATCGCTACATAAATTGCAAAAAATTGTAGTTTAATAAACTACAAAAAAAATGAAAATCGTTTTTGTTTTTTTGTTTTTTTACATATATTTCTAGTTAGAAAAAATTAAGAGGTGTATCTCTCAAAACTGTAAATACAAAATAGTTTCCAACCACGAGAAATTTATTTTGAGTGTCTTCATAGTTTTATTTTTGAGATACACTAATTTTTATATACACTACAGGAAAAATGAAAATAAATATTATAATGCATGAAAATAAACTATTTCCAACAGTGTAATTTGAGTTCTAAGCATCCCAGAAACGATACAGAAAAGCATAAAGTCAAACATGACTTTTAAAAACACCAACATAGGCTTATAAGGCCCTTTCGCGAAAATGATGTCACTTCTGGTTTCGGGCAGGTAATGGCGGACATGCGATAGTTCGCGCTGACGTATATGTCAACATAGGAAGTGTTATGAACATCAGCAAAGCGTGTTTCTGGAATATTATGTTTTTGTTACTGCAAGTTTGGAATATTATGTTTTTTTTGCTGCAAGTGCTTCTTATTCATTTTTTGCAAAGCTATATGTGGAAGGAAACCGTGACCTAGGACAAGCTGATGGCATAAGATGTAAGTACAACTCCTCCGGTTTCACACGTAAAAAAAAAAATTATTGCACTAACTTACATGGTTCCAGTTCTACAGGGATTTAAAAATAGTTAGGTAAAACAGAGTGTGCCTGCTCCGACCGGTTGTAAAGAGTTAATTATATATTTTATGTAATAATTTATAAAATTTGGGTTAGAAACGATAGAAGACAAATGGCACGATAGACACTTTTCTATCGTCCACACGATATATATTGTCATTTCGCCCAGCACTAACTGCATGTGTATATGTAAGCGTGTAAAAAGTGAAGATAGTAATATTAACAGCAACAGTATTTATTTATTATATTAATCCCATGTAAACAATAATGTGGCGCACAGCGTGACATCAAAATCGCGTGACTAAATCTCAGTTTTCCTTGTCCACACGTGAACGCAAAAACTGAGTTTTTGAAAATCACCACCCTGGCAGGAGTTTTTAAAAATCTCCATTTTCAGTGACCGAAAACACCATTTATGTGTGGACAATGGTGCAAACGCATTGAAAAATCAGCGCTTTCAAAAACACTGACGTCAATAGCTGTGTCTGGGCCCAAACTCCGCTGCAGTTCCCTGGGCTGAACAAACACTGCAGCATCACTGAGAGTCTAAATTCTTTCATCTGTAATAAAAGGATTGGTGTGGCTGCTCTACCAGGTGTAACAATTAACTTTAACTTCCAGGCATCCACGAATTTATCAAATTTAACAGAGATAGAAGTTAGCAGGGAGTTAGCTCACTAGTTTCCACCTAAATATGACACATCATGTTCTGACTAGAGATGGACCGATCCGATATTAGTATCGGTACTGGTCCGATACTGACGTAAATTACTGTATCGGATATCGGAGGGAAATAAAAAATGTAATCGATCCATTAAATATCAAAAAAGCACCTCACAAAACTTGTGACACGGCGTAACTCGGCTAATAACCATAGCACCTCGGAGCAGTGTGCTCATGTGATAGAGCAGCTGTGTGTATTTTTAGCCTCACTACGAAACCAGCATTTCATCTCAGATAAAGTTATCCCAGAGAGAAGTAAAGCAAGTGTGTAAGTTCATCTCTGAATGTTTGTAAAGCATTCCTGCATTAACCGATATATGGAGCGACTGCCTCTTTCTCTCCTGCTGCTACTTCAATCGTGAAACTGCTTAATGATCAGCTGATCGGCTTTTCTGTCATGAGTCCGTCTCTCTTGTTTGTTTTTGGCCCACTTTGCGCCGGAAAGAGGAAACCAGCGGCTGAACAACAGCAGCACGTTTAACCTTCATAAGCTGTTGTTAGAATTTATTTAATATTACTTTCTACACCAGGATCTTTTTCTACGTAGCTGACGGCTGTAACTGTGCAGGGGCGGATCTAGCAAAGTTTAGCCAGGGGGGCCGATAGGGCATGAACAGGGAAAAGGGGGCACAAAGACATACTTTTCTTTCTTATTCTCATTTAAAATATCTAGCTTTTAATAAATAATTGTTGTTTCATTATTAACTGAGGGTGCAAAAGTGATGTAAAATCAATGTCAGATTTCAATGTTGATTTAACAGAATTACCTCATATTGATTTAACATCATTTCAATGTCTTCTTGCTATCTTAGTCTGCTCTTAAGCAACACAAGTACATTCACAACTAATTTCAAAGCCACAAAATCACCGGCAAACACAGCCTGGCAACCAAAAATCCCTCACGGTGATGAGTCACATCGGAGACCGAAAACCACACCAACACTGCAAACCATTACTGAAGTGAATATTCTGTATAACTCCCTTTTTCTGTTTCCTGTTCATAAAACTGTTGCTAAAGAGTGACCAAGGGTTAACTGTCACTATATTTTTGCATTAGCGCTGGGTGGGTTGCACGCTGCTGTAATGAGCACAGCAGTGAATTCCCAAGGTAGATAAAAGGGTCTGCATTGAACAATCAAAAACTCTACCAGCTATGAACAGTAATTAAAAAGTTCTTGCACCTTTCCAAGTTGATGTAGACACAGCAGCCACGATCACAAGTCTTACCGCTCAGAGCTGCATTTCTACCACCAAGACATGCAGTGAGCCATGTAGCTGTCCAGAACTCTGTCACTGATCCATGTTTCTGTGAAATCAAAGATGCAGTAGTCCCTAAATTTCCACTGAGAGACCGGTCAGAGGGTTTACTCTGGGGTTTTTTTTTCTCATCTTTGGTCTGCATGCCAAATATCCTTGGGCAAGATACTCAATACTTAAATATAAACTTTATCTAACTGCATAAAGGGTGAGGTGGTTTCATGCATGATAATAACCCAGTTTACTGCAGTAAAGACAACAAATGCACATCCACACTGACATTTGATCATAACTAAGATGTGTCATAAATAAACAACACATATATGATAAAAAACAGACTAGGACTTTAAAAGCCAGAATGAAACATTTTATAGCAGTTACATACCAGTTAATAAAAAATCAATTGCTGCTCCAAGGGGGTTTTCGAGTCTGTTTGTCCAGTGTGTTGACATGTTGTATATACAGCCGGACAGAAGAGCTTCAACTCCTTCGATAAGAGGTAGCTGGAATCACCCTTCACACACTGGCACTTTTTCTGTGAAATAATAAATAATAATAAGAAAAAAATCCCATAAGGGAGCACATTAAGCTATGATAGGTGTTATGAATAACTGAAGCCCAGAGTGAGCCCACCCAACAGACTTTCACAACATTTAACAGTGTTTCACAGGGGTATAACCCACCCACTGCTGGCCATGGGGTCTGTCCACAGTAGCATGTGCAGGGGTGGATCTACAGACATTTTCTCAGGGTTGCATGGAAATCAAATGGAGTGGCAAAATCAAAGCATTTTTTCCAAAACAACAACAGCAAAAACATGCAGGTGTTACATGTGGTTAAAATGATTCAAATGCAATATGTATACACATTTCATATAAATACAGCCTATAACTTTTTTATTTTCTGTGGCCCATATAATTACCTGCCTGTCTAGTCTACTTTCGGACTTTCAGTGTGCCTCCTAAGTTTGTGATCTGTGCACTTGGTTTGTTTAATTTAGTGGCCCGGAAAACAGGACCCAGGGATCTGGTCGTTTAAAAGGGTGGAGAAAAGTGTAAGAGCTATTTATATGTATGTAAACTTTTATACATCTGTAGTGTTTCAGAAAGGGTTAAAAAATAATGTTCACAGTTTATAATTTTTAAATGCAATATATTTTATTTAAGTAATTTAGCAGGTGCAAAGCAAAAGCTGAATCAAATAATCATATAGCCAAATTAATTGCACTATACTAAAATCTAATCTACTCTGAGCTAACGCTGGTTTCCAATACTAATGTTGGGGTGAAGGAGAGAGAGGAGGGTGGACACACTCGGGCCACTGGTGCATTTATCTCCCTTCTGTGTGATACAGTCCAACAGAAAAGCAGTCAAGTGGTCAAACAAGGTAACATTCCAGCATCGATACAGACAGAGAAACTCTGAGCCCCAAGGAAAGAGTCGTTCAGCGTCTAAAGAGATCCAGGTGTTATTCTGTTCATTTAATCTTTAGGTTTTCCTTTCTCAAATATTCAGTTTATCCACGTTAGCATGACTTTTGCATTTTATCCATCTGCCTTTGTATTTCTACTTATTCTGTCTCTAAATAAACTCTTTGGTTGCTCCAGTGTCTTCTTTGCTCCCTTCAGTCTAAATGCAGTCCTTCTCTTTACATTATCAGGAGCTGTTTAGCTGCTCTATCACAGAGCCTCTGTCCACACGAAGGTTACACATGAAAATTTAATCACACCAACATTTAATAATAATAATAAGAATAAGAATAAATAATAATAATAATAATAATAATAATAATAATAATAATAAGTGTTTTCGGTGAACATAATGACAAACCACAAGAGCTATTATTATTATTATTATTATTATTATTAATATTATTAATAATAATAATAATAATAATAATAATATTCATTAAATTAATAATGTAAAGCAACTTTCAGTGTTTTAGGATTTCACGGAATCAGTATTTTGTGCCACATTTTTGAAGAGGAGTTTAAAAATGAATTTCAGATGTAAACTGGAAGCATGAACTTAACATTACAAGGGAAAATGGCCCAGCACTGACTTCAGTGAACGAACCTAATAAACAATTTAATAAAATACTCTCAACAGTTCATTTCCTTATTTTAACGTTTACTAATTTCTGCTGCCCAGAATTTTCTTCCCCTGTTAAAACAAATTTGCAATAAAGAGCCAACCAGAGAACAAATATTTCATATTTGAATTTACTTATTTTTTATTATTTAAAAGTGAAATCACCCCTAATTTCCTTTGTTCTGTTTGTCTTTACTGCAAAGTTCCTTCATGTATAATGTCTCAGCACCAGCAGCACAGTCCTGATGTTTACATCACTTACATCAGTGTGAGACTGAAGAGACAGAAGACAAAGATAAAAAACAAATAAACTGTTGCTGAGCTACACGTTGCACAGATGTTACTATTAACTGTTCATGTCACTGATACAGCCTTGAGTAACTCCAGAGTGTAAACACTAAATCAAAGCTGAGAGAAAAATAAATACATCTTAAAAAGGCAGTTACATGTGGTCACTGCTCGGACACGAGCACTCCTTAACAAACTAGCTCAAACCATGCAGGGAAATCTTATAATGTTGCCACGTTCCTTTTAATTAAAAACAAAAAAGAAAAACTCAGGCAAATGCATTGTTTAAGTATCAGGTTTCTTTATTGCTGATATCAATGTTAATACAATAATCTACTCATGTCTTCCTAGTCAGGATTCCTTTGATCAGTTTCTGAAAATATCTGCCCCCCTTCTTCCTGAATAAAATGTGTTAGAAATGTCCCCAACCTTCTTCTTCTTCTTCATTCTTCCCGTTTAAGGTCACCACTGCGGATAATCTCCATCTCGCTCTATCCCAGCATGCTTCTCTGCCACACCAACCCTTTGCATGTCCTCCTTCACTCCATCTGTGGTTCTCCACTGTGGCCTTCCACAAGAAATGACAACATTTTAAACTCTGCACCTTCAGCTATTCCTTCTGTTTTTTTCTATATGTCACAGTGTCCAAACCAAACATCGCAGCAGCTCTCACCATCTTGTAAACCTTCCTTTTGAATTTTGGGCATGGAGCATAAAAATCATTGCTGACTTAAACATACAGACCTTCAACAATGAGAAAACATGAGTCCTTGTTTCCTTTTATAAGTATTTGAGTCAACACAGTGTGGCAATGTGACCACAAGACAGAGCTTGAGCAGAGTTGCTATTGTGTATTTCCTCTGTTTGTCAATTCAATTCAATTTTATTTATATAGCGCCAAATCACAACAAAAGTCGCCTCAAGGTGCTTCATAGATACAGAGAAAAACCCAACAATCATATGACCCCCTATGAGCAAGCACTTTGGCGACAGTGGGAAGGAAAAACTCCCTTTTAACTGGAAGAAACCTCCGGCAGAACCAGGCTCAGGGAGGGGCGGCCATCTGCTGCGACCGGTTGGGGTGAGAGAAGGTAGACAATAAAAGACATGCAATGGAGGAGAGACAGAGGTTAATAACAGATATGATTCAATGCAGAGAGGTCTGTTAATACATAGTGAGTGAGAAAGCTGACTGGAAAGGAAAAACTCAATGCATCATGGGAATCCCCCGGCAGCCTACGTCTATTGCAGCATAACTAAGGCAGGATCCAGGGTCACCTGGTCCAGCCCTAACTATATGCTTTAGCAAAAAGAAAAGTTTTAAGCCTAATCTTAAAAGTAGAGATAGTGTCTGTCTCCTGAATCCAAACTGGAAGCTGGTTCCACAGAAGAGGGGCCTGAAAACTGAAGGCTCTGCCTCCCATTCTACTTTTAAATACTCTAGGAACAACAAGTAGGCCTGCAGAGCGAGAGCGAAGCGCTCTAATAGGGTGATATGGTACTACAAGGTCATTAAGATAAGATGGGGCCTGATTATTGAAGACCTTGTATGTGAGGAGCAGGATTTTGAATTCAATTCTGGATTTAACAGGAAGCCAATGAAGGGAAGCCAAAACAGGAGAAATCTGCTCTCTCTTTCTAGTCCCTGTCAGTACTCTTGCTGCAGCATTTTGGATTAGCTGAAGGCTTTTCAGGGAGTTTTTAGGACATCCTGATAATAATGAGTTACAGTAGTCCAGCCTGGAAGTAATAAATGCATGAACTAGTTTTTCAGCGTCACTCTGAGACAGGATATTTCTAATTTTAGAGATGTTGCGCAAATGGAAGAACACAGTCTTACATATTTGTTTAACATGTGCATTGAAGGACATGTCCTGGTCAAAAATGACTCCAAGGTTCCTCACAGCGTTGTTGGAGGCCAAGGTAATGCCATCCAGAGTAAGAATCTGGTTAGATACCATATTTCTAAGATTTTCAGGGCCGAGTACAATAACCTCAGTTTTATCTGAATTAAGAAGCAGTAAGTTAGCGGCCATCCAGGTCTTGATGTCTTTAAGACATTCCTGCAGTTTAACTAATTGGTGTGTGTTATCTGGCTTCATGGACAGATAGAGCTGGGTGTCATCAGCATAGCAGTGAAAATGTATGCTATGTCTTCTAATGATACTGCCTAAGGGAAGCATGTATAATGTAAACAGAATTGGTCCTAGCACTGAACCCTGTGGAACTCCATAATTGACCTTAGTGGGTGAAGAGGACTCTCCATTTACATGCACAAACTGGAGCCTATTAGATAGATATGATACAAACCACTGCAGTGCAGTACCTGTAATACCTACAGCATGTTCTAATCGCTCTAATAGGATATTATGGTCAACAGTATCGAACGCTGCACTGAGGTCTAGCAGGACAAGCACAGAGATGAGTCCACTGTCAGAGGCCATAAGAAGATCATTTGTAACCTTCACTAAAGCTTCTTCTGTGCTGTGATGAGCTCTGAAACCTGACTGAAACTCTTCAAATAAACCATTCCTCTGCAGATGATCTGTTAGCTGTTTGACAACTACTCTTTCAAGGATTTTTGATATGAAAGGAAGGTTGGAGATTGGCCTATAATTAGCTAAGACTGCTGGGTCTAGAGATGGCTTTTTGAGTAAAGGTTTAACTACAGCCAGCTTGAAGGCCTGTGGTACATAGCCGATTATTAGAGATAGGTTGATCATATTTAAGATCGAAGAATTAATTAATGGCAGGACTTCTTTGAGCAGTTTTGTAGGAATGGGGTCTAAAAGACACGTTGATGGTTTGGAGGAAGTAATTATTGAAGTTAACTCAGAAAGATCAATTAGAGAAAAAGAGTCTAACTTAACATCAATGGTACTAAAAGTAGCTGTAGATAATATTACATCTGTGGGATGATTACTGGTAATTTTTTCTCTAATGATAAAAATTTTATTTGTGAAGAAGTTCATGAAGTCATTACTAGTTAACGTTAAAGGGATGGTTGGCTCAAAAGAGCTCTGACTTTTTGTCAGTCTGGCTACAGTGCTGAAGAGAAACCTGGGGTTGTTCTTATTTTCTTCAATCAGTGATGAATAGTAAGATGTTCTGGCTTTGCGGAGGGCTTTCTTATAAAGCAGCAAACTATTTCTCCAGGCTAAATGATGATCCTCTAAATTTGTGACACGCCATTTCCTCTCCAGATTACGAGTCATCTGCTTTAGGGTACGTGTTTGAGAATTATACCACGGAGTCAGGTACTTCTGATCTGAGACCTTAGTTTTCACAGGAGCTACAGTATCCAGAGTTGTACGTAGTGAGGAGGTAAAATTATTATTAACAAGATAATCGACCTCTGTTGGGGTAGCGTTCAGATAGCTGCTCTGCTCTGTGTTGGTACAGGGCATTGAAGATGATAACAGTGGGTGGATTATATTCTTAAACTTAGTTACAGCACTTTCAGAAAGACATCTACTCTGATAAAGTCTACTCTCCACCGCTGTGTAATCAATTATTGTAAATGTAAATGTTATCAGGAAATGATCAGACAGGAGAGGGTTTTCAGGAAACACTGTTAAATGTTCAGTTTCTATGCCATATGTTACAGTTTTTCTCAGTCGCTTTGGTGCGTTTCTCAGAACACCATTAACATTTGCACAGCAGTTAGTGCATTTCCCAAAACAATTAGTGCAAACTGCAAAACCTAGTGGATAGCCTGCAAAAGCACGTCACATGCACAGAATTGATTATCCATACCTCAAAAGCAAGTATCCATGTCAATGAAACTGTCAGTGCCATCAAAATGAAAAGTCTTGACACCATCTTTATGAACAAGATAGTCAAATGGCATTGTCATGTTTCCACTATGACAGTTTATAATTTCAGTGTTTCCCATTGCAAAAACAATTGGTGACACCTGAAAATGCTGATGACAGCACTATGGCCTACCTGTACAGCCATCTGAAATGTGCAGTAAAGTCACTGTAGATGTTATGGGAGTCTTGGGAGTAACTGAGACACTGAATACGTACGTTTCACATTTCCATTGTGTAGAAGTGTTTGTAATCCTACAGAATTGTGCAAAAGAAAAATATGCTACAGTCACTTGTGCACTGTAGAATACATGTAAACATAAAATCACCCATTTGGTAGAGCTGTGCACTAATGTGAACAATAAACAGCACATGTAACAGTACAGTAAATCATTCTGGCACATCCAGACGTTTCTGTCTGTCTGGCCACATATTTTCATCTACATCACAACAGATGTTATCCCTCGCAATGCAGCGAGGAAAGTATCTCCTGGAGTGGCGAATCCATCCTCTGCAGGACCCTGCTGTGATGTCATCACATGCTGCATCCATGGCTGCTGGATTTCATTTTTCTTGAGTACTCTGTCAATTGTTGAAATTGGAACAGATTCAATATTGCCAAATACCGTGTAATTCTCTATGACAGCGCTTTGTATGTCTCTCAGCTTTATTGCATTGTTTGCAATGACCATTGCACAAATGACTTCTTCTTGCTGTGGGGTAAAAAGGGGCCCTCTTCCGCCTCTGCAAGGTTGTCTTACAATCCTATGTGGTGCAGAGTGAACTTCTTGTGAAATTGCAAATACAGTACAGTAACATGTGATGTGTCTGAGATGGCACAGTACAGTACAGTGTATTACTGTTTGCATACCTGTTTTCCCTACGGAATGTTTGAATGATTGAACTGACAGTAGTTCTTCCAATATTGGGTTGCACCCTTCGACCAGCCTCCTCCATGGTGAGGCCGTGATTGACAACATGGTCCACAATTGTAGCCCTTATTTCATTAGGAATCCGCCTATATCTGCCTCTTCTCCCTCTTCCCCTTCCCCTTCCCCTTCCTCCCCGCATCCTCACCCCTCTTCCACGGTGCTGACCTTCCATTTTGTGTCACAGAAGTGTAGAAATGGTACACACTAGCTCCTGCGCAGTTTATATATGCTTGCCAATTGGGGATTCACAGGATTCATCCATAATTGACAGTGAACAAGTTGTTTGTCATTGGTTACAACTAAACTTTCACACGCCTCCTCATGAGTGACAGCTGTAATTCACCCGAGATCAATTGATCAATTTCCAGGAACAATGATACAGAAAGGTATAGGATTTGCTTGACAGATGGCCAATATTTGGCATGTGATAACTAGTTCAACAATTTTGTGTGTGATGACTCAAGCAATGGATGTATGACTATTAGTTTTATTGGGAACGACTATTCAGCATCCATAGGTATGATTACTTTTGACTGACATGACATAAGCAAATGGAAATGTCAGAAAGCAGCAGGGAAATGTATGGAAGCAACTGATTCATGTCCAAAATCATTTGCAGTTTGTTCAGAGAGAGGAGAAATTGCTACTATGATGTGCACAAATGACTGAGTGTTGTGGAGGTTGAACTAATAGTTATGAGAATTTCAATTCTGATCTGAGAAACGCACCAAAGCGACTGAGAAAAACTGTAAAACAAGATCTAGAGTGTGATTAAAGTGGTGGGTGGGTTCTTTTACATTTTGAGAGAAGCCAATTGAGTCTAATAACAGATTAAATGCCATGTTGAGGCTGTCATTTTTAGCATCTACATGGATGTTAAAATCACCCACAATAATTATTTTATCTGAGCTCAGAACTAAATTAGATATAAAGTCTGAGAAATCAGACAGAAACTCTGTGTAAGGCCCAGGTGATAGATGATAACAAGTAAGACTGGTTTCTGAGTTTCACAGCTGGGGTGGACGAGGCTAAGCATCAGGCTTTCAAATGAATTAAAAGTATGTCTTGGTCTTTCATTAATTAATAGGCTGGTGTGAAAAATTGCTGCCACACCGCCCCCTCGGCCTGTGCTTCGAGATTTCTGGTAGTTAGAATGACTCGGGGGTGTTGATTCATTTAAACTAACATAATCATCCTGCTGCAACCAGGTTTCTGTAAGGTAGAGTAAATCAATTTGTTGATCAATTATTAAGTCATGTACTAACAGAGACTTGGAGGAGAGAGACCTAATATTTAATAATCCACATTTCACTGTTTTACTCTTTGGTTCAGATGTGGATACTGTATTGTTCTTTCTTTGTAATTGTTTATGTTTAAGTTGTTTGTTGCTGGTTTTTAGTTTGTTTTTTGTCCTTTTGGGAGCTGACACAGTCTCTATGGAGATGGGTTTTTTGGGGGGGTAGCAGGAGGAGAGAAGCTGCAGTGAGGCATGTAAGACTGCAACTCTGCTTCCTGGTCCCAACTCTGGATAGTCATATTTTGGGGGGTTTAATAAATTTGTCCATATTTCTAGAAATGAGAGCTGCTCCATCCAAAGTGGGATGGATGCCGTCTCTCCTAACAAGACCGGGTTTCATCCAGAAGGTTTGCCAATTATCTATGAAGCCCACATCGTTTCTGGGACACGTCCTGCTGTATAAAACACAAACTGCTTTCATGTTTAAACTGGACAGAAAATGTTCATACTGGTGCCTTGAAGACTACAAGAATGAGATACATGTCTGTTTCTTAGCAGCCAAACACACCTGATGAGCCACACCATCCTCAGCCTCCACCTCTGCTGCCTCTCCAACTACATAGCTGAAGATGAAGATGAGCAGCATCATCGTGTCAGCTGAATACAGCACCTGCAGAGAGGGAGCACAGACATGTGAACCAGCTTAGAGCTGAGCTCGGCTTTGGACCAAAGCATAGAAAACAAGCAGTGAGAACAACAGATCAGTACAGCTTTGACCTGATGTGGGGCCTCAGATTGCTAAGATCATTGCTGAGGGATTCCCATGATGCATTGGGTATTTCTTCTTCAGTCACTTTTCTCACTCACTATGTGTTAACAGACCTCTCTGCATTGAATCATACTTGCTATTGATCTCTGGCTCTCTTCCACAGCACGTCTTTTATTGTCTTTCTTCTCTCAACCCAACTGCTCACAGCAATTGGGAATTGAGAGACCTGATGACCAGTGATGGACATTAGATCAATGTTAAAATTGGATGCAGTTTGTTTGCACTAACCAAAACAACTACCATCTTCGTCTCATGCAGCTGCCCTGGCGCCAGCTGGATGCTCGCGGCCAAAGCTGACAGGAATAACAATTCTCGCTTAGATAACAAGACTGTTGTTGTGACGATCTTCCTTCCAGGCCACCTGCATTCACCAAAGATTGACTTTTGCCTAACCAGCTGAAGGGACACTTTCTCTCGGCTAAACATGGAATTCACACACGCGTGTACACTGTTACAGACCTTCACTCCCCCCCTCCAAACGTTATGTTGTGAGATGTGACGATTCATGTGCTATGTGCTGAGGTGTTTTTTTCTGTTCTCAGACTGATTTCCCTGTTGGAGCTCAGTCTGGGGGGAGTTCTTATTTTCTCCTCGCTTCTCCTGTTCATTTCATTTCACTACATGTTGTACTCTGTATGATTGTGTATGTGACAAATAAAGGTTGTTTGTTCGCTCAAGGCTCACTTTCTGTCAGGGGCTTTCCCGTGCTGCACAGGAGCACGTTCAGTGAGAGACTGAGATTACCAAAAAGCAACACTGACCGATGGAGGAAGTCATTTGTTAAATATCAACACTTCACCGAGTTCTTTTGATTCCTCAGAGGCATCCGATGGAAGACACACTGTTCGTAGGCCATTTCACACTTTATTCTATCACAAATTTACTTCTAGAAGGGAGATGCCCACTGCATGACACAGTGCCGCGGATCTCAAAATGGTGACGCAAGCTTAACAGTTTTATTACCAGCTCTCTTATTCTAGTCTAAACAACAGTGATCCAGTAACTTTCCACTAGAAAATGGTCCCGTGTTATGTACTTTTTCCCAGACAAGTGTGAGTGAGAGTCTACAGCATTCTACCCCGCAAGGACACGTAGTCTAATGCCTTTATTTTTCAGGGCTGTGTCCACTTAATACTACATTATATAACTTTACAGCACTTATTAATAAAAAGCATAGCATTATTGAGGCACTTCAAATAATTACTTCTCAACACTCCTGCCTGTGGCTATAATAATGTATTGTTTGGAGTTGTCGGAACCATACTGAATTTCTCCAGAGAAACACACACATATGAAGTTAAGGGAGTTTTCTTTACGATGGGAAAATGTTTTATTCTGTTTCTTTAAGTTCCCCAGGAAGAATGATAAATGTTTTTTTATTAAAAATTTGTTGATACTTTTAGCTATTTTATATCTATAAATGTAAGTTTATTAATAAAACACCATATTTCTGCCTTTTTATAAGGATATGAATTGTACATACAATCAATTTCAGACTCAACCAACAAAAAGCCTCTCAGAACAACATTTATATGTAGATTTTTTTCGCCTACTCATATCATAATTTTTTTACTCCTGGTTCTGTATGTTCATGTTCTGTTCTTTTGTAAACTTCATCTGTTTGTATGTTGTATACTCATTGTGTTTCAATAAAGTTTGATTTTAAAAAAGGTACGTTCTAAACGAAGCTTCAGACGTCACTGATCACGTGACTCTGGCCAAACGAATCAAGCCTCGACACGGTGCTTCTGAAGCAGCGCGTTGATCTTTCTGACACACGCACCGGAGCGTCAGCTTCAAGTGGACCATCACTACGTCTCACATCTAAAGGTGTCAAGGTAACTTTGAACTGAGTTCAGTCAATCTGGAGTTTTTCCAAGTTTTCTGTTGCTCTCTGTGAGAGAAGAGCGTTAAAGGCGGGGCTCTCCAGAGTCCAGCAAAACAGGAAACCACAGCTGGGTGTGTGTAAGTGTGCAAACCAATAGAATGCATCGTGGTGGAGGGGGGGCATCACGGGCATTGGCAAGAAAAAAATAAAATAATCGGTCGTACCCATGCTTCCCCGACGTCATGCCAGCGCATATTGGGAAATTCGTAGGCACCGATCGGTTTTCTATCAGCCATTTGCTGGGAGTAAGGGCGCCCTCCGTTTGCGAGGTGCGCCTGCTGCTGGCGGCACAGGGAGGAGAGGGCGGGGCGGCGGGGAGTCTCTGGCTGGCTGGAGCGGCATCTAATAACCAACTCGCAAAACAAAATAAAAACAACAAACAGATATTATGATACAGACTTATAATCTGCACCGATGTTTTTTCTAAATTCTATAAAGTGAGCGCGAGAGCCCTCGGTGCGCCTGCGCGCTGCTGAAGTCAAAGTAAACTTTATTGTCATCTCTGCTACAGACAGTCCAGCATATAGAGACGAGACGACGAGGCTGCAGTTACAGCGGTGCAAGTAAACAAACAATATATATAAGAAGAGTAAGAAAATAAATCTACACTTTAGGACTCGGGGTAAAGGATCAATAACAATTTAAATTTATAATTTACAGTTTGATGATTTAAAGTCTCACACAACCCGTCAAAAGGGGCGGGGCCAGCTGCTTCCAAGTAGAGCACATTTCATTTATAATGATGTAAATCCAAGCCCATCATGGATTCACGATCTGAATCCTGGGTTGTGTGAAATCCCAGAAATCAACCTTAGACAAAGTGAATCTGTGAACTAAGGTGTAGGTCTGTTAGGTTAATTGTGCTGATCCTCGGGTTGGGGGATTTGTGTTTGTACTGCAGCGCAAAATTCAAACCAATGGAAGATGGACAACAAAAGTTCAAAGCCATCAGGTGCTCAGGTTAGAAAAAAGAGAAAAGATGCAGGTAAGCAGACGTGTGATTGGATAATGGCAGCTCATCCTGAACCAATCAGACTAAACTCCAAACAATACATTATGTTACAGATTTTAATATTAATTAGTCATTGTTACTTGTTGATTTGTCCTTTTCTCATTGTGTGAAGAATTATGACGACTGTTTGGTAGCTGTTATTGTCTCTCTCTCTCTTCATGTGTGTTTCTCTGGTGAAACAATAGTTTTGTGTTAATGTTAGGGCTGCACGATACGATTTTTGGCTTAGAATTGAGATCATGATTCTCTCATAACAATAAATAAACATAAAACAACAAATGTCTCACGTTTTGTTGTTGCAGCAAAATGTTGTCCTGCTTGAAATTCTGTCTCCACCGTTGCTCGACGCTGCGTGTACAGAGCAGGTAGTGCAACAATAGAAAAATAGTTGCGGGACGGCACTGTGTAGCATTTGTCTAGGGTGTTGATCGTTTTCCTAAATCCCTCGTTTTGCACAGTGTTGATGGAGCCATATCTTTGGTCAGGTGATAAGTGATAGCCTCCGTGATGTCTTTGTGCCTGCGGGAGTTCGACGGGTATAGGGAAGCGCTGTATAAGGTTCCCGTTATTGATGTTTGGGTGGTTGACCGGGACGGATTTTCTCCTGTCACTTTCTCTTCATCCCTGACGTGCTCTCCGTTGTTTTTTCCCTGCTAATTTTAGCATCACACGGCACAGCTTCTGTATCACGTGGTATAGGGCTCCGCCCTTGTCATTTGTTGAGCAGGAAGAGTGAGCGCTTGTTTTCATGCAGAGTACGTCCCGGATCAAAATGTGAAGTTTTACAAATCACCACTTCTTTAGTGAATATCATTTCAGTCTCAGACAACCTCGTTTCTCTTACAGAGGTTGAATGCACCTTCTGCGGATGGCGGTACCACACAGTGTGCGTGGACTTCCCCTGCACAGAAGGCAACTACAAATGCTGTGAATGCTAAATAAACAGAAACAAATGATCCCTGTTGTCTTTGCTTGATGATTGGTTTGAGTCTTGACAATCCACATTGCTGGCGTTGCATCTTTCAATGGCAGCAATGGCAGGTATCAGTGCTCAAACCTTTTGTGTTTGTTTCCAACAAGTTGCCCACCTCGGGAAACAAAAATGTGTTCTTTTACTTGTCAGATGAACATATGAGACACTTTGACTCTTCAGTGCAGTGTGGAGCCTAACAAAGATCTGTTTTGTGTCCCAGCTGATCAGCAGGAGGAGGAGAGTCTGACGGAGCAGCAGAGGAACATTTTCAGCTACTTGGACTCAGCTCAGCCACTACAGAGGAAACAATGAGCTCAACACAGAAGGTGACAGACAGAGCAGGACCATATGACCAAAGATATTTATCACCATATACATCTGAACATTTGCCATAACGATGTAGCTGACGATAGAATTGACACCAGACAAAATACTTTACAGCTCCACAACTTTATTAAAAACCCATCAATGTATTTTCACTGAAACAAGCAGCTGTTGTTTATGTGCATTAAAGTTATATAAAAATGTAACAGTGCAAATGCAAATTGCTCGCTGACAGTTTAACTAAAAGGCGTTTCCAGTGGAAACTGGCCGACACATCCTGAGCATAACCATGTATAATATCCACTAAACTTCAGAAGAGGTTATACAGTCGTGGCCAAAAGGTTTGAGAATTGCATAAATATTGGAACCTGGAGAAGTTGCTGCTTAAGTTTTTATAATAGCATTTTGCCTGCACTCCAGAATGTTATGAGGAGTGATCAGATGAACTGCATCGTCCTTCTTTGCCATGAAAACGAACTTAATCCCCAAAAAGCCTTACCGCTGCATTTCATTGCTGTCATCAAAGGACCTGCTGAGACCATTTCAGTGATCGTCTTCTTAACTCAGGTGAGAATGTTGGCGAGCACGAGGCTGGAGATCATCATGGCTGTATCCCGATTCAGGTTCTGCAGCTTTAAAGTCCTCAAGGGCCGCGTACTCAAAGACCGCTAAGGCCGAAGTGCGAGGCTCGTAGGCTCGTGAAATGGGACGTCTAGCCTCCGTCGCGCTTCCCGGGTTGCCTAGCAACCATAATACTAACAGCTGGAAACGTTTCATACAGCTTTGTTTGACAGAAATGAAGGAGAACATATTTGTTTCTACATGAGCTCTGTGTGATTTGATGAGTATCTGAGGCTGAGACCACAGGACTGTGAAACATGATTCTTGGGCTTCATTTCTGTGCTGAACAGTCGTTTAAGATTAGCTGTAAATAACAATTAGCTGATGTTGTTCATGAGACTAAAGTCATCTCACTGTGGTAATGTAAATATAATATGGCCAATATTATAGTTATTATATTAATCACTTCACTCACAGACAAGTATCTGTGACAGTGTGTATACAGATGTGTCATATATAAGAGACAAATATTGTTCATTTAATGTGTTGGTACTAAATGTGGCTCAATGCTTACATATATGTGTAAAAAGCAAATGTAGGAGCTGTGATAACTGTGTCTGATAGAATGAAGAGTAGACTGATATATGAAATATTCCTTTATTGGGTGAGAAAATCAGACCATGTCATAACTGCTGTAAGTCACACAGAATAGATATCAGAGCCTTAAACAGGCTGACTTCTGCTAAATGGGTCAAACTGGGCAGAAAGTCTACAAACACATAACATCCTTATAGAATTTTGATTGATTGAATCTTTATTTTGAACATGTTGAAAAAGTATAAAAAAAAAAATAGAATTAAAAGAGACAAATGAACAAAGCAAACAAAAGGAAAACGAGCAACCACAACTCCAAATAACGTCCATGTTCAAAAAGGAGCAGGAAGAAGCATAAGCTTATTTAATCCCACCCCTTTTCCACTATCTAGTATCAATAGACTACAGAAATACCTCCTTGTACTTACATTATATGTTATGTGTAATTTTTTTTTTTTATTTATTTATTTTCTTTTTAATATATACACATATATGTTTCTATCTATCCATACCTACGTATATACACACATACGCACATATACACATTTTCAATAACCCCATTAACACCTGAAGGATACACAACCTACAATTTTATATATATTTTATATATATTTATATATATATATATATATATATATATATACACACACACACACATACACACACACATACATATATATATATATATATATATGTGTGTATATATATATATATATATATATATATATATATATATATATGTGTGTGTGTGTGTGTGTGTGTGTGTATGTGTGTATATATATATATATACACATACACACATATATATATACACATACATATATACCCATACCAACAAACCCGTGCATGCGCACACCCATGAAAATATTAGACAAGAACACCCTATCAAATCTCTACCTTTTCCCTGTACCCTGTAAAAACCATATCCTTAAACCGCTTTTTAAACTGCGCCATGCTTGGACATTGCTTCATATCTTTACTTAGTCTGTTCCACAGCTTCACTCCACACACAGAGATGCAAAAACTTTTTAATGTTGTACGGATACGAGGATGTTTTAAATTTAATTCCCCCCTCAAATTGTATCCCCGTTCCCTTTTAGAAAACATTTTTAGAATATTGTCAGGAAGCAGGTTATTTATTGCTTTATATATAATTTGTGCTGTGAGAAAATGAAGCAGATCTGTGAATTTTAGAATTTTTGATTTTAAGAATAGTGGATTTGTATGATCTCTGAAACCAGTTTTATGGATTATCCTTATGGCCCTTTTTTGTAATATAAAGATTGATGATAGCGAACATTTGTAAGTATTGCCCCAAACCTCTGCACAGTAATTCAAATACGGTGCAATCAGGGAACAATAGAGAATGTGGAGTGATTTGTGGTCCAGAATGTGTTTTACTTTACTCAAGATTGAGACACTTCTTGAAATTTTGTTATGTATATGATTTATATGAGACTTCCAGTTTAATTTATCATCTATAATCACACCAAGAAACTTATGTTCAAGTACTCTTTCAATTTCCACACCATCTACATGAATCTGCACTTGTGCATTTCTAAGGGAATTTCCAAATAAGATAATTTTAGTTTTACTTAGATTTAGCGATAGTTTGTTCCTGTTAAACCATTTTTTAATTTTGCACATTTCTGAAGTAATTGTATCCAGCAGCTCCTTTAGATTCCCCCCAGAGCAAAAAATATTTGTGTCATCTGCAAATAATACCAATTTTAATATATCAGATGCCTTACAAATATCATTTATATAAATAATAAATAATTTTGGACCCAGTACAGAGCCTTGTGGAACACCACAAGCAATGTCCAAGCATGATGAGGAATGGACACCCAGCTTCACAAATTGTTTCCGGTCACTTAAATAATTTTTCACCCATTGCAGTACAACCCCCCTAATCCCATACCGTTCCAGTTTATTAATTAATATGTCATGATTATGATTATGAGAATATGATGTAACACTATAGATCAACTTAGCTCAGAATATATAAAGCATATAAACAGTTACAGCAATATGATGCAACAAACACAGCAGCTACTGATCCAAAATACTCAAAGCTTCATAGAACTGAAACCAACATTTATTTTTAGCTCCATCCTGCTGCTGATACAGACTTTAGGTTTCTGAACATTAAACTTGTTGCTGCCTTTCATAGTGTGTAACTTAAAGGCCCTGAGTACTTTCTCCCACACTGGAAACACTGGGATGATCACATTATTTGAACATTACCTAATAAGACTGATTCAGCACAGACAGTTATGTTAAACTTTCCTAGCAGTCCTTCACAAACAGGGAACAGTCTGTCTATTCTCTCCATCTGTCAGCTGCTGCTGGCTCTTCCTCCTCCTCTTCCTCACACACTGCTGAGTTTGTCCTGGTGGATCATCAGGGCTGCAAAGCCTCACAGATGATGTGCAGCAGTGGGTCCCTCAGTCTGTCCTCACTCTGGACACTTGCAGTCGTCACACATGGAAATCAAATGTGTGATAAGCTGCAGGATTCAAACACAAGTGTAACTTATAAACACATGTTCATACTTTTATTCCACAATCAGAGAGAAAGAAACAGAGAGTGCAGGACAGACAGACAGGTGACAGTCTCAGGTGTACACACTGCTACACAACAGCACCAGAGAAGCAGGATTTAGTGTTTGTGTTATTACGAGTGTAAACAAGAAGAGTTCCAGATGGTGCAGTGGACACATGTGTGACTCCTGTGATTAAAGCATCTTTCTTTCAGCTTAAGGAGTGAACCGTCAGCTCGTTCAAACACACGTTAAAGTCCGTTTGGCTCGACACCACCGAACAGAGGCAGCAATATAACACAGCTCACATTAACAGTGCAGTGAATCCTGCTTGTGCCGTGATGTTCAGGACTGCAAACCGAGCAGCATCACTGACTTTCAGCTTGTTGTGTTTGTGGATATATGACTGACTTTAATCATCCACAAAATCATCACATTCTCTGTCAGATTAAGGTCGACTATTGAACGGCGTATATTTTAAAGGCTTTAAAACCAAGTTAACGCTGAAAGTACAAACATCACTAATGTCACATAACTCTGCCGACAAGGCATAGCTATGGCTATGAAATGCTCTTTGTGTATCACTTCTTCATTATGAAAGATGTCATTAATGCACTAGTAATGTCTCATCTGGAGTATTGTTCAATCATTTGGTCAGCAGCTAATAAGACAGATCTTAACAGACTTCAGTTAGTCCAGAATAAGGCGTCCAGATTAGTGTGAAGATGTTCATACTATACTAATATTGATAAAATGCATAATAAACTTTCTTGGCTTCCTGTACAGGCTAAAATATTCTATGGCTTACTTGTAGTTCTAAAGAAAGCAATTCCGTTAAACACACCACATTTATTCTGCTCAGCTGCAGTATCCAGATGAAATACATCATCATATTACACAGTTTTCAACAAACTGCAATTTAGTAAATGCTCGAGTTAAAAGTAACGTTTTGTAAAACTGTTACATTTAGAGCAACTTTTAAGTGGAATAAGTTGCCTTAAAAAATTAGAGAATTATTCAAAACTTCAATGAACACTTAAAAGCCGATTTACAGAGCTTTTAGTTGTTGTAAATATTGTAAGACATGATTTGTTTTTGAAATTTGTGTAATGTGCCTCAATGTTATTGATATTATTATTATTATTATTATTGATTGCTTATATTTGAACAATTGTGAAACCTCACTGTGGATGTAAGAGTGAAATTATGTGGATATCTTGAATCCAGTTTATTGTGTAATATTTTATGTAAGTATTTGACGGAAGACGAGCAACATCTGTTGTGGAAGCTAACGGGGTTCCTTTAGAATAAACAAACATAGGATTTATTATCACTGAATAATTCTGTATAAATCTATACAAATTATAGAAATATGTAATAGGAAACAACAAAATAATCTAAATTATAAAAGTGTGTGTGTGTGTGTGTGTGTGTGTGTGTGTGTGTGTGTGTGTGTGTGTGTGTGTGTGTGTGTGTGTGTGTGTACAATCAGGAGGGATGGGCATGATTTTAGTGTTTGAACAGTCATGAATTATCTTTAACAGCAGGTTGGATGTAATGTGTTAGAACTACCAGCAGGTGGGGATAAGAGACCTTTAAGGTGTTTGGTGCCACGCTCCACCTTCAGGTTTAAAACTAGTGTTAATGGAGTTTGAAGGTTGAGTTTGTTCCACGACTGCATTTCACTCACTGCCTCTGTTTGTATCTCTGTCACTGCAGGACCAACATGGAGCCAGAAGTCAGCGCTCTCAGGAGGCCGACAAACCTCACAGAAGAAAGGGAGAGAAAAAACACACCTGTGACGAGTGTGGGAAGGGTTTTACTGTGAGGGCTTCACTAAAACGGCATCAGGTCATCCACACTGGAGAGAGACCGTTCAGCTGTGACTTGTGTGCAAAGTATTTTTCCTGGAAGGATTCCCTAAAAAAACACCAGCTCATCCACAGTGGAGTTAAAGCGTACAGCTGTGATCAGTGTGGCAGAGCTTTTACTCACAGTAGCCACTTACAGAAGCATCTAGTTACCCACTCTGGAATTAAGCCATACAGCTGTGACGAGTGTGGGAAGGGTTTTACTGTGAGGGCTTCACTAAAACGGCATCAGGTCATCCACACTGGAGAGAGACCGTTCAGCTGTGACTTGTGTGGAAAGTCTTTTTCCTTGGAGGGTTCCCTAAAACAACACCAGCTCATCCACAGTGGAGTTAAAGCGTACAGCTGTGATCAGTGTGGCAGAGCTTTTACTCAAAGTAGCAGCTTACAGAAGCATCTAGTTACCCACTCTGGAATTAAGCCATACAGCTGTGACATCTGTGGAAAAACTTTCAGCCAGAGAGAGAGCCGAAATATACACCTACGCATTCACACCAGACATGATGTGTACTGCTGTGAACAGTGTGGCAAAGAGTTTACTCAAAGTAGCAGCTTACAGAAGCATCTAGTTACCCACTCTGGAATTAAGCCATACAGCTGTGACGAGTGTGGGATGGAGTTTACTCTGAAGGCTTCACTAAAACAGCATCAGGTCATCCACACTGGAGAGAGACCGTTCAGCTGTGACATGTGTGGAAAGTCTTTTTCCTTGAAGGGTTCCCTAAAACAACACCAGCTCATCCACAGTGGAGTTAAAGCGTACACCTGTGATCAGTGTGGCAGAGCTTTTACTCGCAGTAGCCACTTACAGAGTCATCTAGTTACCCACTCTGGAATTAAGCCATACAGCTGTGACGAGTGTGGGATGGAGTTTACTCTGAAGGCTTCACTAAAACAGCATCAGGTCATCCACACTGGAGAGAGACCGTTCAGCTGTGACATGTGTGGAAAGTCTTTTTCCTTGAAGGAGTACCTAAAAAAACACCAACTCATCCACAGTGGAGTTAAAGCGTACAGCTGTGATCAGTGTGGCAGAGCTTTTACTCAAAGTAGCAGCTTACAGAAGCATCTAGTTACCCACTCTGGAATTAAGCCATACAGCTGTGACATCTGTGGAAAAACTTTCAGCCGGAGAGGGAGCCGAAATATACACCTACGCATTCACACCAGACATGATGTGTACTGCTGTGAACAGTGTGGCAAAGAGTTTACAACAGACGCAGTCTTACAACAACACATGTTTACCCACACTGAGGAGAGACCTTATCAATGTGACCTGTGTGAGAAGACTTTTAAATCTCCACGTTACCTGAGACAACACCAACAGATCCACACCAGAAAGAGACTCTCCAAGTGCAGCTACTGTGAGGTATGTATTTATATTGTTATCTTGTCATTTTAGCCTGACTGTTTGGAACAACTCTGCTCATTAAACTGTGTTAGCATGTTAGCAATTCTACTGCATGGAAAAGCAGCTCTGAGTGATTATTCAGATTTTCCTTTCAGTTATGATTTTAGTATTACTGTAGTATTATGGTGGTAGTATTGTAGTTATTGCAGCCCAGTAAACTGAGTGTGTTAACTGAAACAGTCAAATGTAGTTGGACGTCTGCAGAGATGCTCTTTATTTCAGGCGACGGTCAGGATACAAATGTTGAAGGACTGACTTACACTGTCTTTGTGTCTTTGTTTAGAAGCAGAGCGACACAGATGGATCCAGTTCTCAACCCTGTCATCACTGTGGTGGTGGGAAAGACTTTCATTGTGACTGTTAGGTTTTGTATTGTTGATCGTCATTTTGTCATGGTCCTGGGCCATGTTGGCCCAGTGTTCTTAGTTTTCTTGTATGTTTGTATTTTGTTCCTTGCTTAGGCCATGTTTTCTGAGTTGCCCTGTTGTGTTGTTCCCTAAGTGTTTTCCCTTCATGGCTTTTACCCCCTGTGTGCCCCTCTGTGTATCTGTGAGCCCTCGTCTCTCCTTATGTTTTATTCCATGTTTCCCCTGCCCATTATGTCTAAGTTCTCCCCGTGCTCTCTCTTCCCCCTGTGTGCCCTCTATGTATTTATGAGCCCTCGTCTCCCTTTGTGGTTGTTTCATGTTTCCCCAGCCCGTTATGTCTGTGTTTTCCCCGTGCTCTCTCTCTCCTCCTGTCTGAACCTCTGTGCACTTCCTGTTTACTTTGTGACTCTCACGCCCGTACATGTCATGTTCAGTTCACCCCGCCCTGTCTCGTTATGATTATCAGTGTCACCTGTGTTCCCCGTGTGTTCCCACTTTCCTCGTTAACCCTCTGTGTATTTCTGTCTGCGTCTCCCTCTGTTCAGCGTGACGTCGTCCCTCATGTTGTGTGTGGATCTCCCTGTGTCTCCCTAGTTTATGGTTTCCCAGTTTAGTCTAGTTTGTATGTTTGTTCTACCAGCAAATAAAGCTGTGTTTTGAGTTCACCTCCCCGAGTCTGTGAGTCCTGCATTTTGGGTCCAACTCCTGCCTGCCGCACAGCGATTCCTGACACATTTATGCTTAGAAATATTTACTTATATGTGCTTAGTAGGGGTGCAACGATATTCGTATCGATATTGAACCGTTCGATACAGTGCTTTCGGTTCGGTACGCATATGTATCGAACAATACAACATTTGTAATTTATTTGATCAATTTTCCTTCTGACGATGCTGTCTGTGTTGAGCGCTCAGTGAATCTGTCTTCGACTACTCCGCCTAGGCTGCACTGTCGAGCGCAGATCCACTGAGCGCTCAACACAGACAGCATAGTCAGAAGGAAGAGCGCAGGGCAAGCTAGCGAGACAGAAGTTAAGCTCTCCAGGCAAATTGAACCTCATTCAGATCTGGCGTTTGGAATTATTTTGGTTTTCATGTGACGTATGACCCTGAAGGTAAGCGAGTCATGGACTAAAGTAAAACAGTATGTTGGATGTGCCATGCAATGCTCAATTACATTGGTGTGAACTAGTGTGTTAGCGCAGTTAGCTCGTTAACGTGTTGGCCGTCTAGCCCCATGCACGGAGCGATCGGCGGTAGCTCGTTAACGGAGATTTGCCGTGTTGTGGCGTTAAGGTCATTTCAACGAGATTAACCTGAAAGCACTAGTGGGAACACAACGAATATGACTGCACATTTACACCGACATCATCCTAGTGCAAAGACAAAAACAACAAGCATGCTACTAACTTTAGCCGAGTCATTTAGACAGCTGTTAGCACAGGATTCTCCTTATGCTGCTGAGAATATAGCCCAGAAGAAGCGGATAGTATAGCTTTTATTTTGGAAAGAGCCATTTCTCTGTAATAAACTCTCTTTTCCAAAGATGAGTGATTCCTCAATCAGATACAGGGCTCGCAATATCGCTAGCCCGACGTCCTGGAGCTAGCGATTTTTTTCAGTCGGGCTACCAAAATCTCTCTTCCCTGCCCGTCGGGCTATTGTAGGAAAAATATATGTCAATGCTTTTGCATTCTTTCGGAAATGTAGCTGGGTAATTATGTCATTGGCATCGGTGAGCCACTGTCAATATGTGACATTGAAATCGCGTTTGAATTTGCGCTTGTTTTTTTGCTTTCACTTTGCAATCGTGAGAACTGTGTATAGAGAGCGACAGCACTGATCTGTGAGTGATGATAATTGTGCACCAATTCCTCTGACATCGTCTTATTAGAGAGAGTATGCATAGTATGCAAACAGCTACCAAACAGCCATCATAATTCGTCATACAATGAGAACAGAACAAATCAACAATTGACAATGACTCATTAATATTAAAATCTGTAACATAATGTATTGTTTGGAGTTGAGTCTGTTACTGTTGCTATTTTTACCATTTCTTCTTGGAGCAACTGTAACCCATTATTTCCTTAGTGATTAATAAAGTATTCTGATCCTGATTGTTTCAGGATGACCCGCCTTTATCCAATCACACATCTGTTTACCTGTATCTTTTGCTCGTTTCTCCTCCTCTTCTTTTCTCTTTTTTCTAAACTGAGCACCTGATGACTTTGAACTTTTCTTGTCCATCTTCCATTGGTTTTAGTTTTACACTCCAGTATGAACACCCATCCCCCAACCCGATGATCACCACAACATAACCTAATAGACCTACACCTTAGTTCACAGATTCACTTTGTCTAAGGTGTGTTTCTGGGATTTCGCACAACCCAGGATTCAAATCATGAATACATAATGAGCTTGGATTTACAACATTATGAATGAAATGTGCTCTATTTGGAAGCAGCTGGCCCCCTCCCCTGTCGACGGGTTGTGTGTGAGACTTTAAATCATCAAACTGTAAATTATTAATTGTTCTTAATCCCTTTACCTCTAGTCATAAAGTGTATATTTATTTTCTTACTCTTCTTATATTTAATGTTTACTTGCACTGCTGTAACTGGAGCCTCGTCGTCTCATCTCTCTATATACTGGACTGTAGCGGAGATGACAATAAAGTTTACTTTGACTTCAGCAGCAAGCAGGTGCACCGAGGACTCTCGAGCCGCTCACGCATAAAGAATTTAGAAAAACATACAATGCAAGGACACATTAAGTGCAAATTATAAGTCTTTATCATAATTTCTGGTGGTTTTTTTTAATTTATTTTACGAGCTAGTTATAAGATGCTGCTTCAGCCACCCAGCCTCCCCCTGGTGCCCGCCCTGTCCTCCCTGTGCCGCAAGCAGCAGGCGCACCTCGCACACGGAGACGCCCTTACTCCTCGCAAAACCGACCGGTGCCTATTCCATCCCCACAATTCGCTGGCATGATGTCGGGCAGCATGTGTGCGACCAACTTTTTTTTTGCTCGTAATGCGCCCCCACCTGGATGCCACCCTGGGCCATCGCCCATATCAAAAACCGCTACTGCTTTCCGATTAGTAGACAATCTGCTGACCTCCTGAGCCTCAGTCACCAACACATTAGCAGAAGTCACATGACCCCCTTTTTTTTTTTTTGCTCTGATGGGGTGTTAAACGTTCTTGATTAATCAGACCCAGTCGTATCAATGACCTCATAGTACTGTAAAAACCCAATAGAGCATCGGAAGTCTCGCACTGCAGGCTCCTCCAGTCAAGTCTGGCCAACACATTTTAAAAGTTGGCTCACCGTAATTTTTCCCACGTAAATTAATGATAACAAACTATTACGATTATTATTATTATTATTAGTAGTAGTAGTAGTAGCAGTAGTAGTACTAGTATTGTCTACAGTGTTTATAGCATCACTGAACAGAAAGTGATGATCAGAACATGTTTATTGGATTTCAGCACCTTGTGTTACGTCTTATTGCCAGCTTCAGTTACACGGGGCAGAAATCTATTTAGGCTAGCGCCATTTACAATGCGGTGTATGCCGGTTGGGCGGACCCTGACATCACATCAGTTCATGCGCATGTGGCAAGCCTTTCTCTCAGTTTCTAAACCTAACGGAGCTTCGCGATAACGCAGAAGAAGGTTGATAACGGAAACACTTCACTGTCAGATGGTCAGGATGAGCCTTTCATCAGTGTTTGTGTTCTTTCTTCTTTTTATCTGTGAGGGGTTGGGAGCACTGATCCAAACCACTGTGGGGGCAGATGTGGAGTTTCCACTCTCAGAGGAGTGCAGGAAGGGAGAGGGCACACTGTATCAGCGGCTGGATGATGCCAGCACTCAGCTCATCGCATCTCTAAATGGTTACTGGAAGCCAGGACGAGATTACACTGACCGCGTGGTCGTAGGACGCGATTGGTTAATCTTAACAAATGCTAACTTCAATGACAACGGACATTATGAGTTTACCTGCAACAGGAAACACTTGGAAGCTTACAAGCTGGAGGTATTTGTGCCCTCTGAAGTTGCTGTATCCCAGGGTGGGGATGCCATCCTCCCGTGTCGCTCCGTCACAGCGGGCCAGTCGGTGAAGTCTGCGCGCTGGAGGAGAAACGGGGAAGTACTGCTGGAGCTGAATGGTCGGACAGGGGAAATCACATACGGGGATGACTTTAACAGAAGCCGGGTATCGATACCATCTGACTGGGACCGACGGGCAGACCTGTCCCTCACCATAAAGGGAGCTCAGCAACAAGATGGAGGAGTTTATTACTGCGA